TATAACAAGCTATCCACAAATGAGAAAGTCAAAGGTCTCGCAGGACACGCCATCGTCGTCCTGTCACCATGGCATCGGTCTGACACGTTATCGCTGGTCACCTGTCTGTCTGTCCGTCTGTCTGTCCATCAAACCAGATTACCCATGAGGCCCTGCAGCAAAGTCACAACTTCTTTAAGTGTTTGTCTTTGGCCTTACTTTCTCTCTCACACACACATACATGAATGGCTCACAGGTCGTGTGTCAGCTCGCATGGTCACACTCCACATCAAACTGTGATGGCTTTTGTGACTTTACACACCGCGACAGACCAGTGTGTGTGTGTGTGGAAGGTAAACACAGTCGGCTACTCTGCTGCTGTGCGGACATTAAGCCTATTTTCCAGCCAGAGGTCAGTATGAAAAGAGCATTGTTGTGTGAATCGTGTTGTTGCGGAGCGGGCAGTCCCGCCACTGCAGACACCACCGCCACTTCTTAACCTTCAGGTTCGAACATTCAGCTGCACAATGGTGAGCAGAGAGCAGACACTTTCTGTTTCTAGAGCGTTGTTCTGTGCAGTTTGCTGTGTGAAGCAGCTGCAGAACGCTGCGCGGAGAGTGAATGGCAGTCAGAGTGACAAAAGGCGAGCAGTGATGGTGTATAGAGTCTCTTTCCATACACGCAGTCAGACGGCGGGATGGATTGACTGCAGTTGTTTAACAGCACAAGAGACTGACAGGCCGGCGGCAGCGACGGGGCTCATGGGACGGCCGGACTGGGTTCGCCCAGGCCGACAGGGGCTGTTGCGACTCCTCCCAGATCAATTGTCTTGTCAATCCAATGTCAGTTTTCTGCTCACTTACAGATCTTTTAGTTTAGCTCCACAGTGGAAAAATGAAGTCAGTGGGTCGGTCGGGTGGTACTGTAAGGTGTCATAAGGTCAAAATAATACCATCGACACACTGTGTGGCCATTAGTGATGGGGATCGATGGCATTGTATCAAAATCCAATCCACTTATGGAATCCAAATCCAATATTAAGTCTCTCCAACTCAAAGATCACTTTTTTCTTGATTATTTTCATTATCATAATCATTTGATTCTTTTCTTGATTAATTCTTGGGTCTATAAATTGCCAGAAAACAAAGCCCATCAGAATCAGCCCAAGGTGATGTCTTCAAATGTTTTGTCTGACGAACAGTCCAAAACCCAAAGATACTCAGTTTACAATTATGTGAAACAGAAGAGCAGCAAATCTTCACAATGGAAAAGCTGGAACCAGAGAATTTATGTTATTTTTCTTGAAAAATGACGTGATTGTTTTACTATTATCAAAATAACAGATACATTTTCTGTTGAACTTAGCGTTTAATTGACAAACTTTGTAGCTCTAATTGTAACTTTCTTTTCTTTCTTTTTACAGATACATTTATTTTATTTATAAACACGAAATGAGGAAGAACTCAACATTAGTTTTACTGAGGGTTTAAACACTGGAGACACAACTTGATGTATCAAACAGTGAGCTCAGAACACTACTTTGTGTCTTTTAACAGAAGACACTGCAGTCTGAGGAGGCCACCTCTATAAACTGCTTTATGGCCTTGTGAGTGTGTGTATATGTGTGCAGCTCTGTGTTACATATTAACCGCTCTGTCCGAGAAGTCAGCGAGTGTATCCATAGTAACATGATGACAGAAACCTGTCTGTCTCTGTCCCTCGCTTTCATATTTAGGTTGAAGATTTTATTAGTTTGTCAGGAAACAAACTTTATTGTACAGAAGCTCATATTCATACTCCACCCCCAATTGATATGCAGGTCATGCTAAATTAAGATGGTGAACATTATACCCGCCAAACATCAGCATGTTAGCTTTGTCACTGTGAGCGTGCTAGCTGATGTTAGCATTTAGCTCAAAGTACCACACTGCCTAAGTACAGCCTCACAGAGCCTCTAGCATGGCTGTAGACTCTTGGTCTAGTTTGGATGGACTTAAAGACAACCGTTTGAGATGATTTCAGATTTTTGAAAAGGTGTTTTCATCAGTATTGACTGGATCTGCATTTCCCAAGAGGTAGTGAATAAAATGTTCCCATAACTGATAGTCATAATGGGAAATATGAAAATCAGACCCTGGTTGACAAATACTTGGACCTGCTACAAGGGATGCTACTTTTTTTTCCATCAAAGAATCTGATTTCTCCAGATGGAGGTTCAAGGACTTAAATTGATTACTACCTGCTTACCTCAGCTGGAGTCTGCATTAAAATATAATCTGTTTTTGTCAACAACATTCAGTAACTGAGTGTGCAGTCCTCTGTCAGAAACTCAACCCTTCTTCTTGACAACACTGGGATTGTTTACCATGGTAACGTTTTAGCTGTGCCATAGCAACCTGCCGCTGGCTGAGGCTGAGAGATGATCTGATGGATACTTGATCTTTCTACAGCTACCTGTCTGTCTGCCCTTCTTCGAAAAATATCAACAAATTAAATGAGGTCAGGTCCTGTGAGACTGTGTGTGTATTAGAGAGAGAGCATCAATAATGCTTAGAGACAGAGAAGTCTGTTTTAGTCCGTTCAAGATCACTATAGCACTGATTTAGATTTTTTTCAATTATTTTCTCACCAAACAGCGTAGATAGTATAATTCCTGACAAATAAGGTGAATTTTTCCCCCATGATTTTTAAGCTAAGATTTATGGACATTTATTTGTGAGGGGCATCACAGATAATATAGTCAGGAAATACAAGCAACACTAAATCTAAAAATATGCCCATCATGTCTGTGTGTTCACATTTGACTAAATTACCACTCAGTATGAAAGAGTATGAAATTTGATGCTAATTGCAGCAATTGAGTGTTGTAAAGTACCTTAATAGCCTCCATGAGCCACTGCTGCTGCTCCAGCTGCTGACTGTGTTGATATAAGCTGGCCAAACTACAAACTCTAACTTCCTGTTGTCTTTAGAACACCGGCATGCGCCTGTCCCTTTCACCTCATGCGGTATCTTTGCCTCTTGCCTCTCCCTCCACATCGCCTCCTTTCAACCCTCCTATGTTTCCCAAGGGAGGCACGGCTTTGAATTTAAAACCTCTGTTCCCAGTGGACCAAGAACCTTTACAAGAACTCAGGAACTTCTTCATGTGTTTTCACCAAAGGAACCAGGAGCCACATTTGGTTCCTGTATGATGGTTGCAGGTGTAAAAAAATACTGGGGTAGTACTGTTCGGTCAAACACAGACACCCAGTCTGCTATAAAATGTGTACAACTTCACTCACAAAATAAGGAAGTACTGGGTGGCTCTAATACCAGTGTTAGGACAGGGGTAGACATGTCCTGTTATTATGGAAATGTAACTTCACTTGACACTTGTAAACCAGGGTATAAATTCAATTAGTCAGGATTGGGGTCTATAGATGCTTTAATGGTCTGGGCTCACAAAGGAATTGTGTTGTTCGAGTTGGGTTAGGTTACGGAACATTTTTGGGGGGCACAAAAAAAATGGTTTGAGCTTCTGGTAACGGTGGGGGTCAAGTAGAGAAAGGAGTTGTGGGGGTGTTCGGTAACTCCTCACAGGACCTACTGAGAGCCCGGCCCGAGCTGTGGGGCGGAGTGATGGCAGGAGGTGCACTGTGTGTATGTGTGTAGGGTCATTATCAGGGCGAGGTCACGGCCTTTTGGGAACAGATTATAGTAATGAGCTAGATAATGGAGCTGGTGTGTGTGTGTATATTGATCAGTGGTGGTCTATGGGGATTTATAATGCGATCTCTAAATCTGCCTAATGATGAGCTGTACAGGAGGTCAGTGTGTGTGTGTGTGTCTGTAGTTTGGAGTCAATACCATGCAACCACACACACACGTGTCCACCAGTGTTGGTGATGTAACTGATATTCTGAATATTTAGCATCAATAAGGCTCCTCCAGATGTTAGCGCCATATATAGGTGTCTACTCTTTTAAGTATAATCTACAATTCATCCATTAAGATTCTTATTAGTTTGGTTTTATGTGACAAATGCTTTCTGGCTTCTGATCCAAACTAAGTAAAGTAAAGTAAAGTGCTGAAAGTGTGTTCAGTTGTTTGATGCCAGTGATGATAGCACGGTGTATAGGGATCAGTGTCCATTCCAGGCAGGATAAACAGAGACTAGAAAAGCTATATATACTATAGTTTGGCTATATACATATATACAGGAAACACACTTTTTAACATTTTATTGGCTAAACAATTAAATGCTTAATCACAAAAAAAAACAAAAAACAGGGTGACGAGGGTGAATGTTTTTTCAAACAAGCGACACATCACTTTACCTGTTCACTGACGCACATAGCTGGTTTGGAAGTCTTTGTTAGGAAAAACTAAAACAACCTGATATTCGCCCCTTAGCTTGTTCGTCTAAGAGTCTGCTTTGAGCTAAATGCAAACATTAGCACAATAAAAACTGCTAACATGTTGATTCTCAGCAGGTATAATGTTTGTCATGTTTACCACTTACCTCAGCATGTTAGCATGCTATCATTTTCTAATTATCACTAAATGCAAAGTACAACTGAGGCTGTTGAAAAGTCATTATTTTTGCAGGTATTT